AACTGGTAAATTTGACTAGAACTATATCTGCACGTCCACGATACTGGGTAAGGCCCCTATTTCACACAGACCACGAATCCCACGAATCGCCAGGAATTTACAAATTTCAGGATTCGTGAGATTTTGTCAATTTTCTGGTCTAATTCGACACGCTCACGATTCAGTTACGATACAGGTACGATAGTGTTACGAATGTTCGTGGGATTCGGTTGGAATCGCATGAATATTGTCCAGAAATACACTACGATTTTTTGGAATCGGGGGTTCGTGGCCAAGACTTTGAACAGCTCAAAACTTTTGCCACGAATTCCCGATTGAGACATCAAAATGTTTGCCACCAATTCTTGTTGGTCAAGAATTGCAAGAACTGACTACGATTATATACGAATCTGTTAATAACTTCACGAACTGATTACGATTCAACCACGAATCATGAAATTTTCAATTCCTGGCGATTCGTGGGATTCGTGGTCTGTGTGAAATAGAGACATCAAAATGTTTGCCACCAATTCTTGTTGGTCAAGAAGTGCAAGAACTGACTACGAATATATACGAATCTGTTAAGAACTTCACGAACTGATTACGATTCAACCACGAATCGTAAAATTTGTCAATTCATGGCCATTCGTGGGATTCGTGGTCTGTGTGAAATAGGGGCATAACAACCTAGGGACATGGGCATCAAAATTTCAACATGGCGTCGATCTTGTGAGCACACTTTCCACTTAGAAAATGTATTGTATTTTGCTTTACATTCATAAAGTTTGGGAAATGTAACATTAAACACTTTCGAAGATTATCAAGAAAGAGTCAACTTAACTTCACAAATTCCGTAAAGCACGCTGCGATCCTGAATCGGCGGTTACACAGCGATGGCATGAAATCGTTTTTCGTGAATTACACGCCGAAAGGTACTAATTTAATTAGTCTCATTTAATATTCATGTGACCGGGTTATTACGTCATCAATAGAAATATCCGCTATTTACGGAGTCCCTGGGCCGAATCTGAATGGGGAAACGAAACTAGACGCTAGCTGTGGTTTCGATGTCATGCGTGTCTGTAGGAAACGAAACAGGATTGGGTCATAACTTCTGTGATTACATGCTCAGATGACAGGATTTTCTTTCACATTGTTGTTTTACGAAAGGCAGTGTATTTCAGGTATTTATATCCCGAAATTGAACAATTTGTATAGTTCACGTGTATGGGAGATAATATGGGAGAAACCATAGTAATGCAAAACAAACCGTTTTCTTCCCGCATCATAATTTGGGACGAAGAGCAATTTTTGTTTTACTCTAGTGTGTGTGCCGTGAATGATCCCTGAGATGACCAAAAAATAATGACAATTCTATTCTGAGGGCTTTCTTTTTCATAATGCACGGCTGCAAAACAGACTGGTATGTCTGTGTCCCAGATTTAAGCGTTATTTTAGTGTCATTTTCAACTAAGAATTAAAAAGTTTAAAATACACAGCAATGTTTAGAAACACACAATTGTTTGTTATTATAAGATAAATCTATCCCTTTTCACATGAAAGCCCCCCCTCCCCCATTGAAATCCAACACATAGGAATATTTTGACAAATTGTCAAAGATGATAACCCATTGTTGTTACCCGGTATCGTGGACGTGCAGATATAGATGTTCACAAAAGTAATATTATGTCTTTGAATTGTTTGAAATAGTGCCAAAAAGTAACTGTTTCAAACAACTCAACAACATAAATTTGAAAAAAAAAAATGCCGTGGCGCGGCTGATATAGCTGACACGTAGCACATAACGTGGGTCTCCCGACGGCTTATCTTGTGGCAATCCGGGTGATTCACCGCGAGTGAGTCGTCGGTGATGCCAAAACCAATGAAATAGCCTCACAGTAAACAATAATGCCTCTATAGGAGAAAGATAATGCAAACAACCATCAGCAAATGGGATTTCCTAAATTGTAATGGAGTCTAAAGCATATTAGATAGTAAATTGTGCTGTTCACGAAGCTGGTAAACAGATATAAGTAAAAGAAATTGTTATTTGAACTACCGGTACACTGCACTACAAAAAGGTAACATTCATCTCAGATTTATTTTATTTGGCATTCGGATATTGGACCATTCAGTTACGTGGGAGCATGACCTTAGCGCATTATCGATTACAGAAAAAAATGTTATCTGCTTTCTCAGAGCACTGAGGAGAGACTAAAACCGAACTTGCTCTTAAAAACTTAATCAACATCAACATCAACATAAAATTGGCACTTTAGACAGTAAACCATAGAATTAATGCAAAATCATTATCCATATTGTTTCTTCTTTAAACCTTGTCGAACCTCGTTTTCTGTAGTAATTGGCGTATAAGAGAGATACCCCTGTGATAGAAGGTTAGGTTCCCATTAGTTTTTATAAGTAAGCCCCTTCCTAGATTTTGTCCTAACTAACCCAACCTATGAATCTGAGGGTGGAGTCTCTGTTACACTGACCCTCACTTTCTCAGCACCGATAGCATACACAGTATAGCCACTACATGGTATATCAACGGGCTGTCCTTAAGATCTGATAATACAACTGACGTCTCGACATCTGACGAACATTGCACGAGTCAAAATTAATCATCTTTCTGTATAATCGGAATAAGGTTCTAATGTTCATTGCAGTTCTTGTTGACTGATATAGTTTATAATGGAAATCTTATGAGAAACGGAAACAGAATTAGGTGGCAAAGCGATGCAAAATAAAAAAGATAAAAACTATTTAGCGCAGAAGGAAATTAATGGCACTTTCCTTGAACCGTCAACAACTATTACGTTTACTTTTGCTATTCCAAGGACACATTACGGGAATGCTGGAAAAGACGGGTTATTAGTGTACAAGGAAAGTCTGCCTTTATAGACCAATATGTCTGTCATGAAAGAAATCCGAGCCTGATGTACAACATTTCGGCTATTTTACATTCCATTGTTCCATTTCCAGTCGTCGGTGACAAGCCATCTCAAGCTCTTGGCCCTTTAGCATGAAACAGAAAGAGATTGACCGACTTTGCAAATTTATATATCCTTTCAAAAAGTAATAAATTGCATGTTTCCGACCGAGGTTTGTTTCGGAGCCCAACATTGAGAAAGAAGATCTAGTATCATGTAAACCAAGGTCCTCCCTCCCTCCCCCCCCAAAAAAGGCTCAATTTAGTTTTATACCCTAGCCTACTTTGAGTTAGCCGTTTTAATATTTCTTCACAATCAATCTATATGGCTGCTTACATAGTTTTTCTTTCTTAATCTAATCCCTCAAAGCAAATTGTAATCGTTTGGACAGCGATTTTACTCTGAGTGGTGATAACAGACAATAAACATTTATTATTGAGGGACAATTATACAATATTAAAAAAAACTCTTAAAAATGTTTCAAAGTCGACTTTGATTTTAGCCTTCCAAATGCAGCATTACAAAAGACATTTTACGGTTGCTTTTTCAAACATTTAAACAAGTGTATTTCTGCTGTTTGTATTCCTTATAGCAAGGGCGGTTGTACTATAAATCCTCTATTGATTAAATTAACTCGCAGTCTACATCGTGCTACATATAAACATATTTCATATGTTTACATTTCATGTATATCTGAACACAACAGCTTGATACAGAACCTAGGCAACATTCCATCTTATTTTACAAATATTCAATACTACTATCTGTAACTACAAATTATTGGAGTTCAAGAGAAATTTACTTAACTTTGGGCATATTTCATATGCAATATGCCAGACAGACAGAAACCACATAATACACCTAATGATACATCTACATGTGATATCACTTCCATCATGTCGCCAAATGAGTTCAGCTGCACACCAAAATGTCATTCACAGCAATCTGCAGGTTTCTGTGCTAAGTATGGCTTCACCATTAGTCATTTTGAGCGACGTGGCATTTGTTCCATTGGATGGTACTGAAACATCAGCCTCAACTTTAATTTATTATTGATACACCAAGAAATCCAGAAAAACAGAATCCCAGACGATGAGGGTTAGTGATTCATTGCAGTAAAGTTGACATAATACCGCTGCTCACCAAACACATTTCACTGCGATATAATCATTTGAACACACCAGTAAATGTAAAGTATCATATGAAAAAATTGCACACATTTTTTCTTAGAAAATCGATTCAATGTCATATCAATACTCCACATCTGAGATTAGCCTGCTGTATGAAATATGCACTGAAGTTAGGGTGAAAACATAGTTAAGATCGCACAATTATTCCTGAACTTTTAACAACAGTTTATCTGAATATCTTTGGCCAATTGGTTTTTACAGTTGTAACGCAAGACCTAAGGCAAGAATTGAAACACAACAGGGTGAATATCCGATTTCTAATAAAAAAGATAACAAGAATTACTTTATAGCACCGTGGATGCTGTGCGCATTTAACTTGCTATTGTTAATTTCGCTCTTTTATTGTTCAACTTAGCCGTCAATACATCACTAACCTTATTGTCTTGGATTCTGTACGAGTTTTCTGATTTTCTTGGGTTTTGGTGTGTGTGTGTGTGTGTGTGTGTGTGTGTGTTTACTGCTCTCCCGTCTCTGATAAATAAGCTATATAGTAGAAAAACAAGTCATGATATATAACTGAAAATTTGGCCTTGAGCAAGGCCGCTCTTTATTAAAAAGACATGAAAAATTTAAATGGCAGAAATATATAAATGGCAATATTAATTTTTGTAAACAATGCTATTGTTTTGAGAATAGAGAAGGTTACTGAGCTTTACAGGAATTAGATAATTGAAACAACACTGGTTGAGCAGAGCAGAATTTGCACGATAATATAGAATAGCATGTACAATTTTTGAAGCGAAGTACACTGCAAAAACTTATCACTTTTTATTTATTTTTCAGAATATTTACAGTAGTACACTATGCTTTCATATCAATTTTGTAAATGTGCCTTTATATTGATTGTTATGTAAGAGCATATCTTTTCCAAGCATTAAATTTGTCTGCATTCTTCTAGGAATTGGAGCTGAGAAACGAAAATGGCCAGGCACTCTTCGGAAGACTTCAGGCGGAGTTCCTCGCCCTTGCAGTCTCTACATATGTCCCGTCGTTCTCCATCTCTGACCCCAAGGTCACCGTCCCTGTCTCCTCGATCCCCATTGCACTCCCCTTGCTCGCCTTCAAGTGCTTGTAGTGACCGTTTCCAGTGGATTTGGACAGGATGTAGGACACTGAAAGTGCCACAACAAGGTGCAAATATGTCAGCATCATCTCCATCTAACTTGCAAGTCCCCTTTATGGGACATAGTCCCAGTTTCGTGTTTACAGGCCATCCTCAGGCATGTAGGAGTAATAGCTCTGCCTCGTCCATCATGGATATGACCTATGAGGCGGATATACTAGAGCGGGCAGTCATTGAAAATGACGTTGTGACCGTTAACCATATCCTCCAGATCCATCATAGTAAATTCCCTGTAAACTTACATAGCAGTATCCTGGATAAAGCTAGCTGGGATTCTGGTAGCCACAAGGTAAGCCAGGCAAGTCAAGAAGTTGAGATACTCCTCAGAAAAAGTCAAACGTTGATTGATAACTACGACCGTGCTGAAAGTGTTATCTTTTCCGGGGACATCCCTCCTGTCTTCCGCAACGCATTGCATCTGGCCGTGAGACATTCGTCTTTGGATGTTATAAAATTACTCCTTAAATATGGCGTTGATCCCAATGAAATAGGATTGCGCATGTCACAAGAACGCGCTGGAAGTATCTCTTTGAGTAGTCCGCGTTCCCCAGGGCGAAAGGACGTCAGGTTCTCTACAAACAAACCAGTTAGCGGAACTGAAAGTGCTACTGCTGTCACTCAAAAAGACAGTGTTTCAATAGAATATGATAATAATATAGTCGCGCAAGAACCCAATGGCTGTGAAAGTCAATTAGATGCACATCCGAATGACACAACATCGACATTTGCAAGCATTTATTCAAAAGATTGGCTATTTGGGCTCCCAGTGCTTTTTCTTGCTGTAGTGACTGGAAACGATTCCATCGTTCGACTTCTTTTAAGATATAATGCTAATCCGAATTACCAAGACGATCGTGGAAATACGCCATTGCATTTGTGTGCATGCTCGGAATTTCGCAGCACTGATTGCGCTCAGGTATTGATTGACAACGGTGCGCGGATACGCGTCTTGAACAATTACGGGGTTTCTCCCTGCCAGCTATTTCCTGAATTAGTAAATGAGCAGACGCGTGTTCTGAAAGAAGCGCTTGCTTGCTTCCAGGAATTTTACACGTCCTCTGGAGTGGGGCGCTTGGACGCCGCTGCCGATACCTCCCACGGTATTACCAGTCACAACAGGCAATTCGGGAAACTGCTTAAACGTATCAGTACGGAAAGCAAATTGCATCGGAATAAGGACAAGAGACGCTGTGACGCCGAGGATACAAGCAGCATATTACGCGACCGAGTCTCTTCTTTTAGCTCTGTCAGAAGCATAAGGAGGAGGACCACTTCTGGAGCTACCAGCTTGTTGGAAGAGTCAGAAATTTCCCCAGTGGACATAGAGGTGACTGTGATAAGCCACGACAGTGAGAGGGTAAGTGCATCCACACAGGGTCATACAAATGAAGCACTGCAACTACTTAAAATACCTAAAGATATTTTGGGATGTGTGGTGAATGTGGCAACCTTAATTCCCGTGAACAGAGAATACAATAAAAATGACGTGCGTGAGTGTGAGTGTGAGAGAGGGCTTGAGAGATAGAAAAAAGAGAGTGAAAAGGATAACTGATAGAGAGACACTATATGTTATAAAAATACAAATGTGTATTAAAGGATAAGAATAAGAAAAAATTAAGCCTGTTCTTAAAAAGTACAAGTATCAATTTTTCAGCCGTTTGTTTTGCAGCCTGGTATCCAATCTATTCATCCGTTTATGACATGTGTATCAGTTGTGACAAAAACCAATACGTTCACATGTAGGTTGGTTAATGTTGGAGAATAAATAGCTCTCTAGTAAAAATCAATTACTGCTGTCGAGCACCACTTCCTCTTCGCTGCAGTTCCCATGTTGAAACTTTCCATTTCTATATGGCATCAGTTTCATATTCCTTTCCCGACAAGGTTTTGTGTGTATCTATGCCGTTTTATATACTCTCCATTCCACATTTCACGGTTATGTGACTCGTGTCGTATATTGTTGACCTTTTTGTGCACCGACCATCCTTGTTTAGCATAATATACCGAATCATTTCGTGTTGTTAAGTGTAAACAACTTAACCCAGGCCCCGAGGGAACACCTCAGGGCAGGGAGAGATAATTAAATAATAAGTATATTGCAGCTTATACACGAGAGACACCTGGGGACAGCGCACATTGTACACGTACAAACTGTTCGTCATACATTAATAAGTTAAGGACGGTTAACACTTAATCTGAAACTAAATGTATTACGATGCAAATAACTGACAATGAACTTTTGTTTTTGTTGGTCGTAACACAATTTCTCATTTACATAGATAAGCTCAAGAACTTAAAAAGAGATCTTCATCGATAGCTGCTGTATATGTGTGTGTGTGTGTGTGTGTGCGTGTGTGCGTGTTTCATGTCTGGCTCCCTGGTGAATTGGCAACGATAACGCCACCTGAATTATACTAACAATGTGGTTACGATGTGAAACGCGTGTAGTTGTTTCACTATGGAGATTACGTTCTGCATAGAATACCCGAAAAGACACATTTGGAGTTTTAAACAAAAACATTTTCGTACCTGTAGCAGGCATTGTTATTTTATTGCATAGATTTCTATCCACATGCACCGATATTGCTCTTCTTGCGGGATATTGTCTTTCTCCAGAAGGATTTGAAATATACCTTTTTGTTGGAACAGTTTAACCGGTATAACCAACATGCCGAAGACACTGTTTCCTGTATTGTCAATGAGCGCATGTTGTTATGCATGTTTATTTAAAAACATTGCATATTATTAGTTCTAGGGAGAGAGTCAAAAGATAAACCACAAGAAAAAACTGTATTTTGAATATGTTACTTTGAAAGGTCTGAACTAGTTTATAGATATTCCATTAGATATCGTCAATCCAAACAAAATACAGGGTCCATTCCATGCTAACAGCTTTTAGGAACGATGATGCTTCGAAATACACGTTAACATGCCAGTGCATTGCATGTGTAGGTCTACATCTTGTACAAAAGCAGGGCGCATGGGAAACAAATGTACCGTGCTCTTAGAGTTATAAGTGCATTATAATGAACTAGAAAGTCGACACTCTCCAGAAAACTAGACCGTGATATTTCAGTTACAGTAATAAATTGCCAGCGAGAATCTTGTTAGGGAGACTGAGATCGTCTTATCTATGAATTAGTTCTATGACGATACACAGCGTTGGACTAAATTGTACAGTTTCGTACTTAATGCGCCAGGTGGAACAGATGTTACATGGTCTGTGTGGGTGAATTTCTTAATTCAGTTCAACATAGTTCAAGAAAACGTTACAGAAAATACATTGCAAACAGCAAGGGCGAGGGCGCGAAAGAAGATCGTTATCGCCTGCTTAGTGATAGCTACTGTAACGCCTGCACGCGCCTGTCGTGAGCAAGGTGCTACTGTAGACATCCAAGCCGCTCGCTCAAGAAAACCAATAGACTATCTCACCATGAAAGGGAAAACTCGTGCTTTAAAGTTTTTTGTCGACAAAAATACCTTTTACCACATCCACTGCCGTGTTCATGACCTGTATTGCTGCTGCGTGACGTGCTTTTTATTTGTACCATCAAACGTCATTGCTGACCTTAGCTGAACGTTGGCTCTTAGGCAGGGGACCAATAATACAAATATTATCATACCACTATTCTTTGTTACGATCTATATCAAAATGCGTTTCCAGATATATGACAGTTAGTTGTCTTATGCGTACACCCCTTCTTCAATATTGTTCCATTTTTGTTTCCGTTTTGTTTGTTTTTGGCTCAAAATTTTCACGAAAATTGATTCCTTACTTTTAATTTGATCACCAATGTGTGTTTTACCATTTCTATTTAGTCAAAATGCTTTTCTCAGATCACTGTTGGGTTCTTTATTCGTTCTGTCCGACATTCGTCATCTCTTACCATTATGATCCAGCATGCGCCACAACATATTCCAACGATCTTTTAACAATTAATTAAGTTTTACACATGACATGTTGCAAAACAGTCGGAAAGGCTTTATCTGAAAGAGAGAAGGAGTAGAGAGAGAAGAAGTAAATCGCTCCCTTTCGCCGTAAAATTAATTTTTTATTGTTTCGCCAACTCTTTGCATCACCCATGGTCAGGCGACCATCTTGGATGAACAGGTTATTTCCTCTTTGGTGATGAACGGCAAGCAATCTCCTTGTTTAATAGCACTACCCGGAAACCACCTTCCGAGAATTTATCCTTGAACTATTAAAGCATGGAATGATATTATTCCCGTATAGTTATACTATTTGAACCTACCAACTTGACCAATACGTTTGAAAATGTAATGAATATAATGAATACATTGCTATAAGAAATTCGGTTTATTTTTTAGGAAAAATATTTTGTCCAATTTGAGGAATTGAACGAAAAATTACAATTAGTTCGTAACCAATGCGTATACTCCTTCTATAAACACTTCTACTCAATGATACCTTAACAGCGTTTTCGTAGAGTATTTTTGTAATGAAGTCGTTTTTTTATTTCACTTTCAATGGCTCCTTGCCACCTCTCCACGATAATCGCTTTACTGGTGCAATGGAGAATCTCCTCTTTTTCCGAGTGATTGAGCTAACGTGTTTTTATGCAAAACTGTATTCGAGTGAAGTGCAATGATTTTTTATTTGATGTATTGGCTATGAAGTATAGCAACGGCGCGGATGTTTTGATAACACAGCCTTGGGTTAACACCTTACAGCATGAACTGGAATAGTTTTTGTATCATATTAAATGTGTTGTATCACATTGGTTCTAACCCCAGCAACATATATGTCACAGCACTTAAATTTTATCCGATCAGTGATATGCAATGGCTTTTTTTATTGGTCCAGTAGAATATGTAGGTCACCATGTCTTGGAGTCGATGTTTGAACACTTAATCCAAACAACCAAGAATCCAATCCCGTGGCTGAATTTAGCTTCAAGGATAAACTTTACAACACCCTTTGACAGATGATGCAATCCAGTTTTTTAAAGTTCCGACAAATCTTTGAAACCATCGGGAGTTTCTCTCTATCTTGTTGGATTATGCTTGAAAGCAAAGTGGTTCCAAATTCGAACAATATTATTTAGTCTTTGCACCAATTTCCTTGCTTGTAAGATAAATTGATGTAGAACCTTGCTTACCTAGTGTCTAAAATACAGTACGACAACCTATTCATCAAAAACAAAAAATTATCTACTAACAGCACATTAATACTGTCTGTGTTCGAGAGACCTGTATATTGGCTGTCACTTTGTCAAAATGCCGGAAAACAGTCACACATGGCTGTCACTACGGCTAGACAGCAAGGCATTGTACAGAAGTAGTGGGGTGATGCAAGGCTAGAGAAGAGTTGATTTTGAACTGTGACATTTTGCTTCAGCAATGGCGTGCACATTTTAAGACATGCTAAAAGAAATTACACCTCAAACGTTCCTACATGCCTTGATGCCATTGAATATGCGATGTAACTATAGGAACTGAATTACAAACTTACAGTTCGGTTGAAGAAAACAGTAGGCGGCATTAAGGTGATCAATCAAATCCGCAATGGCGGATAATCACATTAAGTTTAGCGTTCGTTTCACCAGATGTACAGATATAAACCAAAGTGAAAATGCCACAAGGACGCATCGCTGTTGTATTGAAAGAAGAAAGCTATTTTCGGTGACAAAAAGATTGTTCGCAATAGGAAGTCGGGCGTAATACCGTAGCTATATCAATTGGACATAGTCTATGCCATCGGAACTATGTGCTCTTTCTTAAGTAGCAACATAGATGTAGAGCAAAAACACTGCAAATAGGTGGAAGAGTCAGGCATAAAATGAAAGCACCGAATATGTGTGTACACCTCTATATTGCGCTATCGTCGTCACGTATACGTGTTACAATTAACTGATGGTACAAGTAGCATGCAATAGACACTTTGATCATATTTACTGTGATAACTAGACGAAAAAAGTCACTATTAAAGAAAAAGTCAGTTGAGTTTTAGAGTTTGCCGAAAAGCCAGTTACTTTATCAGCATATCCCTGCTGTTTACATTGTCTGCATTGGGGACGTACAGCATATGTTGGATGTACTGAATCCCAATTATTGCTCTTAACCCAGGGTTTCAGTGGCCTATTCATGCTACCAATCCACCTTACCAATTATTTGCAGAAAAAAAGATAATCTTTTCTTCAGTTCTTGCAATATTAAACATAAGGGTAGATATTTTATGTCATATTTAAGGAATACATCACGTTAAAACATAAATAAAATACCACGCACTGAATCTGAGAAAAGACAAAGTTTGTCTTGTAAAATGAGTTTAAATGGTATTCAGTAGATGGGAATTATGAAGTTGATTTGGTATCGGCTACACACTTCAGGATACTGAATTTTGATGGGGGATTCTTCGACGTCACATTGCCTCATCTCAACACTCTACGAAATTTAGGGCATTCAAATAAACAGCAGTTAAAAGTGTATTTAGCTCTATGAAACCTGCATTTTGCTTCAAAATTTAACATCGTGACGAAATGAATGACGACGGACGCAACTTCCTGGCAAGCACCGTTAGGGTATATTTTGCGTGGGGGCCTGTGCGATTTTATAATACTTTAGGGGTAGTGCTATTATGAAACGGTACCATATATTACCAATTTTTGCAGTAAAGTAGAGAGTGTTTGTTTTCTCAGGCACTGACATGAGGCCAGTATGGAGAGTTCAGAGGGTTGTCGGGGGATTTGATAAGTTATCAGTGTATTTATCCGTTGATTGTGTTAGCTACATGTACCATTTACGACATAATCAGCATCCCCCCCCCCCTCTCTCTCTCTTCAGTAATTACATCCGAGATTCGATGAAGGACCATTACAACTGACACGATATAACCGCTCGGGTTCTTAATGCCGTGTCATTTCAATCCTGTCAATGAAGCCTTCACGTAGGCGACTTTGACTTGCCATTAATAGACGCGATACGCGCTTCCGGTAAACAGCTGTATATTTCAACGGCGCTTAAAAAAAAAACAACACTGCAAAGAAGACGATTCGAAAGTAAGAATTGGTTGGTCAGTTATGGTCAGTGTAAAGGAAAAATCCAGCAGAAGAGGATTTATAGACTTCTGTTACCGAATTTTCTCTATAGCTTTTGATTTATACGATATTTGAATTATAGATGCTCTGTGCGAAGTACACCGTTGTAAATTTCACGTTAAGTTTAGGCATGTCAATTCATACAGGTGAGAAAAAAATATCCTGTTACTAGTACCCGGGGAGGGGGGCCAATTACACGTTCATCCGTGAAGTTATTCAATTGTGTGGATAGAAATAAAACACTTATCGTAAAAAGTACATTAAGGGAATTCCTGTAGACATCGAAAACAACACTTAAGTGTAGGCCTACACTACGGGTTAATAGCGACAATGTTATTAGAAGCTGAAGTCCCAATGCAGCATTAAGTCCCCAGACTTAATCTAGCCAAAAGCACAATGCGCACATAGGCCTGATCACTGTCTTTATGCGATCAATGCTAAATGGATCGACATCACAGTAAACCAACCAAATAACCTGCATATAATACGGTCTGCAATACATTATGGACGACCTTTTCAATGACAAAATGATTTTTCAATATCAGAGATATGATAAGAATATATTTTGCAGTCAAGCGTTAGGAAGCCTGTAGTTAAAGTCATTGGTTCTTTGGCATTTAAACATTTATGTCATTACAAGTTTGGATTCAAAGTTTTTAAAAATAGATTATTTCCTAAAAATGCTTTCTCCTCTCTCTCTCTCTCTCTCTCTCTCTCTCTCTCACACACACACACAAGACAAAAAAGGCAGTGATTAGTTTCCCTCAACTGTGATATATATGATATATTATATATTTTGGATTCTGTGCTTGCCATCAGGCCACGTGAACCTTCTTAGATGACAAAACCTCCATAATAATGTCTTAAGAGATTATATATATATATATATATATATATATATATATATATATATATATATATATATATAAGAAAACTTTAATAATTAGGTTTTTAAGCTTAGTCTTACTGCCAATGTTTTATGTTTTATTTCTCAACATTTTTTTTTAATTTTGGGATAAATCAACTTTTCAGAAGAAAGTTCAATTGTATTTATTACGACATAGGCCTACTCGGCAACACAGTTTCTACTGAGGTGGAAACGCAAACAGACGTCTTTCATTTTTTTTTAGGATATTTGTAAAAGATGGGCGCCGTTTGAAGATAGGCCTGTAGTTTTAAGTTATATTTTTCTGTTTTAAACGATATGTGCATAAAATTTAAGTCTGTATTCATGAATGCTATAACTCTACAACGACCAAAAATGTAGGCCTAAACCTGTTTTTCCAACTCTTATTCTTTCGCAAGGACACATTTTACTCACATTTTTTCGTTGTGTGGCCTACGTTATTGCTTGTATTGTATGCTTATAATCTTAATTTTTGTGACAAACTGTACCTTTATACCCCAAGAAACTGGAAAAATTAAATAATTTTTGAAAATTGATGCTTTCAGGGCTCCACACATGTGTTGGACAGACCACTCTTCCGCAAGATGAGCCTCAGGCGTAGCGATCGTGCTAAAGGCAAGTCGGTAATCTCAGTGGAAACCCTAGCAGAGAAAGGTAATGCTAATTAATTAAATGGAGCAGAGTTAATTAAGGGTAACCGCTGGAAACATTGTCCCCACGGGACATGTGGCCACTCCAGGCTTATGGACGAATAAAACGTTTTATTAATAGAAACTTTGTGATAACGATGGCAGGGCCGTAGCCTGAGCAAAATGCCAGGGGGGGCAGTAAGCGGACACGAAAGGGCGAAGCCCCCGAGGGGGGAGGGGGTGTCCCCCTACCAGTATAGAAAATTCTAAATCCCAGGGGGGGCAGCTGCCCCCCCTGCCCCCCCGGAGGCTACGGCCCTGGATGGATAGGGGCCCTTGGGTAGGCCTACCAGTAGGGCCTACTTTTAAAATTTGTTGGGATTGGGACCTCATAATAGTTCAAATCAATTTACATTTTCTGGTACGTCTGCTCACCAAGTAAATTACTAACATAAATAGTTTAACGGGGAAAGATTTTAAATTTTCTGGAAATGGGACATATGTGACAAATCAAGATTGCAAGAACCGCGTAGGATACTTTAATAAACACCCCCTTTATTCATCCAATCAAATCGCAGGAGGGCTGCATTGTGCGGTTCTATCACCGGGAAATTCGTCTGGGTAGCATCCTTTTATTTCTCCAGTCCTCGAGTACAAGCCGGTTTAAACGTCCTTCTGGTGGTCATACTATAGACTGGGATGTGCGCTTTCATGGAAAATACTTAGATAGGATACTTGGAGACAGAAGACTCTCACTAATGTAAAGGAATAAAGCAACGAGAGCGTGGTTCTTGGTTCAAGTTGGGTGGCAGGTAAACCGGGTGCAATGCAGTCGTGTCATGGATTTAACACTTATGCATGGGTTAGCATAAGCAGTGGGACTCTTTGATTATATCTAGGGAATTTTCAAACCAGAAAACAACTTTATCTGCATCATCCATTCCACGCTCGGCTGTCACCTTGATTGGATANATAGGGGCCTTTGGGTACCAGTAGGGCCTACTTTTAAAATTTGTTGGGATTGGGACCTCATAATAGTTCAAATCAATTTACATTTTCTGGTACGTCTGCTCACCAAGTAAATTATTAACATAAATAGTTTAACGGGGAAAGATTTTAAATTTTCTGGAAATGGGACATATGTGACAAATCAAGATTGCAAGAACCGCGTAGGATACTTTAATAAACACCCCCTTTATTCATCCAATCAAATCGCAGGAGGGCTGCATTGTGCGGTTCTATGACCGGGAAATTCGTCTGGGTAGCATCCTTTTATTTCTCCAGTCCTCGAGTACAAGCCGGTTTAAACGTCCTTCTGGTGGTGGTCATACTATAGACTGGGATGTGCGCTTTCATGGAAAATACTTAGATAGGATACTTGGAGACAGAAGACTCTCACTAATGTAAAGGAATAAAGCAACGAGAGCGTGGTTCTTGGTTCAAGTTGGGTGGCAGGTAAACCGGGTGCAATGCAGTCGTGTCATGGATTTAACACTTATGCATGGGTTAGCATAAGCAGTAGGACTCTTTGATTATATCTAGGGAATTTTCAAACCAGAAAACAACTTTATCTGCATCATCCATTCCTAGTAATAAACATAATATGTTACCATGGTTCTTTCGAATTTCAAGCCATCACATCTGTCTTAGACCCCATTCCCACAGATTTTAGATCGACCTATCCCTGTGGGGAGTCTCGCTAGACTACTGTCAGCTTAGCTGGCTTAAGCGTCTGTCCCGCCTACTGGCTGACATCAATTTAGCGTGAACCCCCAGGGAGGTAGGTCGATCTAAATCTAAATCTCTGGATCGATCTAAAATCTCTGGCAATGCACCCTTGGTTTCTGTCGTACACACATGAAGTTTCAGACTTCGGTCTAACCCCCCCCCCCCCCATAGTAACTGTGCTTGACCAAGGAGGCGGAGCCTAAAGGCTGCCACGCGTACAAGTGAGTGACGTCACGACGCACTTCCGGTTTTTGTCGAGATCTTGAAGGGATTAGCTTTACGGTTTGCTGCAAATTTAAAGCGTTCTGTCTCAAAATATACGCAACCGCTTGGATTGAAATTTACAACACTTATTTTTCACATGATATCGCACCTATGTGCATAATTTGAGAGCTTTAAGCTATCATATGTTTTCTACAGTGCCCATTCAAATTTGAAAGAGAGCTATTTTCCGTCGTTTTCTTGAAGGGCAAGTCTAAGGCCTTAAGCAGTCAACTTTATATTGATGTGATTTTTGTTTTTGAAGCTTACTTATCTACTTTGGACATTTTGACATAAGCTTTGCTCGCAGTTGGACTGTACGAAGTATTTTGATGATAGCTAGAACAAAAATTGAATATTTGCAGCCAGCATTCTCTTTTCTTTCAGATAAACCAAGATTTGAGGATATAGAAAGATGTCTTGGCACCTTGATCAAGCTTGCAGGAAATTCAGAATGTGTTCCATCTTTAGTGGAGGGCCTGGCATCATGTATGAATACAGTTATCTCAGTGGCTGACCAAACTGGAGCCCAGAGCATTGAAAAATGTACCAGTGAATTGTTCAACCAACTTATTACGGTAATTGTCATTATGTTTGTCAGGACAGTCAGCATTGGGTGTGACACATAGTCCAGGTGTAATACATTTGTCTGCATGGTTTCATATACATTAGTGTTTATGTGTTATGAAACTTGTCAGGTGTCGACATTAGGTATTGAACTATGCAGAACATAATTTGAAATTATCATGATATTTTTCAATGGAAGGGTGATCGAGAGGATTTGCTTTGTTCAATTTCAAATTGACATTTACAGAAAAATGTAGGCTTTCCAATAGATCTTTCTAGATGCATGCATTTTTCTATTTGTTTACTTTTCTGGTATATAAGGTAAGCTTTCAGTCTGTTTCAAGTTTATTATAAGCTTTCCTTAGACTTTTAACTTCATATACAGTATATAAAGCAACTTTGTGATGTTGGTCTAAGTGTATTACACTTATGATTGGTTTATTGTTCATGTTCTTCATATATTTCAATTAGCTCTCTTCATCACAGAAAGTATACTTTGGTTTTGGGACATAACTACTTAAATTTGCATTTTGAAGAACAGCAGAAAAAAATTATAGCAAATTTTTCACAATGATCAGGAATATTCATTCAGCCTTAGTACATTCCTAGAAGGTATTCTTATTACTATGACCCTAAATGTAGGTCATTGTCTGATTAGAGTCATTTATGGGGTAATTTACTTGTTTGTTGTCTTTTTATTACTACTCACCAGTGCTGAAGAACATGAGATGTGGAAACCTGACTCCTGAGTGATATTGATCTCAAAGTAACTTCCAATATTGCTCATGAAACGTTTCAGTAAAGAGTCTGCATACAGGAGAGCAAAATTTAGGACTTACAGGAGACAGTATTGCAAATCGCTCACTCACTGTCTCACACATGCATGCATAGGCACACACACCTCATGATATATAGTTGCATACTAGTATATATGTTAACTGACAAATGTTTTTATTGTCTCCAAATTATATTAGGTGTATTATATCAATAACATGTTGGAATCCCACAACATGTACATATACAAAGAGAGATAATTGCAAGTGTAAATCCACAACATGAATTAGATAAATGCTAATTACACCATTATTAAGTCGTTGATTTGTAAATGCCAGTGATCACTTACCAAGAAGTAGTGGTATTTCCTCTACATGCAAAAGTAAATAATAATCTCAACTCTATCACTATAGAAAGCACTAAAAGATCAGTGGTACAATAAGCCCACTTCTTAATTACCTCCCCCATAATTACCAGAAGGCTATTGTATACTGACCATAGAAACCCAGGTACATTTGTTTACATGACTCCATATAACCCTTTAATTATCTTGTCTTAGCTCAAGGTATGCACTTGATCTGTTATGGTAAATAAGCTTGGTAAAGGATATACACATAATTTTGTTTTGTATTGTATTTTTGTTCTACAGTAAGATGGATTTTTAAAGAAGACTTAGATCTCAGGCTCAGCTATCTGGAGGCCCTGCCTCTCAGCCAGGAATAAAGCAGATTGTATGAAAAAAACCTAAACCATTGATCTTTTCACCCCTCATGATAGTATTTTACATAGTGCAAGTGTCAGGTGATAATGTAAGCTGGTAATAAGCTCTCATATGAATAAGGCTATTTGAAAATCAATCATGGATTCTGAAATATCTGTAGACAATGACAGGATTTCATAATCAACAGAATAAGAGGCTTGAATTAAATATGTTTTGTGTATGAGTCCTGACCTTAAAGGTGGCTCACCATTCATATTAAAATAATGTTTTTTAAGCAAAATGTACTAGTACTAGTAACCTGTTTGTTAGTGCCCCAGTAAAGAACTAAAATATTAAATTTAGCTTGCTACCTGACCTCTGTATGTGGCAAAAGTGGTAACTGTCTTTCACCAGTGATCACTTACCAAGAAGTAGTGGTATTTCCTCTACATGCAAAAGTAAATAATAATCTCAACTCTATCACTATAGAAAGCACTAAAAGATCAGTGGTACAATAAGCCCACTTCTTAATTACCTCCCCCATAATTACCAGAAGGCTTTTTTAAGCAAAATGTACTAGTACTAGTAACCTGTTTGTTAGTGCCCCAGTAAAGAACTAAAATATTAAATTTAGCTTGCTACCTGACCTCTGTATGTGGCAAAAGTGGTAACTGTCTTTCACCAGTGATCACTTACCAAGAAGTAGTGGTATTTCCTCTGTATGTGGCAAAAGTGGTAACTGTCTTTCACCAGTTAAGTATAGAACCTGTAAAACTGATATTGGGACCTGCTAGCTAGTATGCTATATAGACCTGTGTCTTGAGTTTAGGTGATATAATTGCTTCAAATGGGAATTGCAAAAGTCTTATTCTAACATGTATTTCATTAAGTTTTGTTAGCAGTAGTGTAATTGATTAGACATGAGAGAGAGAGAGAGGAATAAGAGTTATAGGTGTTACGATAGCAAGTTAGGGAGAGTATTAGAGAATTCACATGAAATGCAAAGTTCAAAGAATATTGCATGCCTGTTTAAGACTGCTTCTCCATAAATCCATCTTACTTGTTGGATCGATCTAACTCTGTGGGGCTTTTCGCTAAATGATTTCAGTGTAATCAGCTTAATTGTCTGGCACACCCCCTTGAGCAACTAGGCATGAGTAGGCATGCCAGATATTTAAGCCACCTACACTGAATGCAATTCGGCAAGAATCCCTGCAGAGTTAGATTGATCCAGCTAGTACAATGGGTTTATGGGAACACTCCCTAACTTATGATTTATTTCTTAGTTTTTACCAAATCTGTTGTTGATGGGTCACGTTTTTAATGAATTACTTTTCAATCAAATCAAATGTAAATATAATTTTAATCAAATGAAATGTGAATGACAGAAGTCCACATATACCTTCCCAAATATTTTATTTGTAAACAGTTTCAGTCTTTTATACTGTACATATTGTTTTCTATAAAATGTGAGGAATCCCTTTCATCTTCATTTTGATCTGTGCCCATAGAGATACAAAATAGAATTTTTATGTTGTTTTACTGTATCCAGGGATATCCATATTGTGGGAAAAGAAATACGGCCTTAATTTCTCATTAGTTTAATTTCCTGTTTTCCCTAAAACCAATCAGCTGATAGATGGCCTCTCACTAGCATTGAAGGAAACCTGGACAAATTGTCTCTTGTGACTTGATACAAAACATTATGAGCATATATAGATACTTAGAGATGGCATTATTACCACCAGCCTTGTTTTAATGTCACTAGCACGGACTCATTTAGAAATTGGGTTAGAAAGAGGTTGTGTATTTGTAATAGCAGTAATTGCATGCAGCACTTAATTATCACATTGATACTATGTACTTGTCACCTGTAAAACACTTGGTAATATCATATCACAGGTATATCTCCATGTTACTTATTGCTATTAAGTGTTTTGTTTGTCTGTGTTATGGAAAGTGCAAATTTAGTTAGAAAATGTCAGGATTTTCTTTTCAACTTTTCTTGCTAGAAGTCATGCAAGCCTTTGAACATCAGGAATTCCATTCTGTTATGTGGCATGCTCAAATACAGCTAATTTAAGCAGGATAAGGTTCTAATGTGTCATAATTAGACAGGAACAAGTATCTCACTCATATCTGTTCTTCTGGTCAGTTAGAACCTCCATTAATGACCAGGCATGGCCAGTTTGAAGTGTTCTGAACAAATGCTGCTGTAACATCAACTGCTGTACACTTATACTAAATCATCTGCCATTTTGATAAACTCCAGCATAAAAATAATAATAATAATAAAAATAAACATCATGTTTTTTAATTTGATGATACATGTAATTAGGAAATAGATCAAAGTTGGAATTCACTTTTTAAGTTTCCATAATACACAGTTTAATTGATTTCAAGGTTATAAGCTAATGATGAAATACATGTCTTTTTAATGGCAGGTTATAAAATTCAAAATTAAGAATCAAAAAATGGACAGTTGAAATTCAACCTCAGCCGAAATGCAAACAGCTAGATCTTTTGAGTGAAATATACAAAACAAACAAGAATTCTAACAGAATTCTAAACTTACAGTATAAAATTGGAACTTAGGAGGATTCTTTGTACTAGCATTGAAAGCCCATTCTTTTTTAGATCGATCCAATTCACAGGAATTCTGGCTGATTGTAGTCAGATTAACTGAATGACATGCCTCCTCTGTTTCCAATGTACAATCACCAGTTTTTCTGTTTATTACTCAATGCCAGGAGGATGCATGTTAATCTTTTAATTTGATTGTGTTCAGCGAGAGTCTCCATGGAGTTGGTTTGATCTACCTAGAATGACAGTTTCATGGGGAATAGGCCTTAAGACTCTGAGCCTCCATACAAGTATATATATTTGTTACTGATAAAGCTGCTTTGACATCAGTCCCAGGTACTATGATAAATGCTGACCCAATAGTGTTTTAAGTATCATCCCCTTGTGCTGCTGAAGTCAACTGAAAATTCCTACTCTGTGGTGTACTAAAAATTCAGAGCTACCCAACTATACCAGACTTGGCACTGAATGATCCTGAATTCACTGGTAGGTCAGACCACACTACCTGTTTTCAAGGTGTGGTCCGTACGCACTTCGAAGTATGAGACGCGACACCGCTCTTACCTAGTATGTGATGTGATAGTGATGAATCTCAGCAGGGTTGGAAAGTGGAGCATCTCATCTCAAAATTTGTTCCAGGGTATGATACTGTGAAATGCGTACTGTCGCACACTTTGAAAATGGGTAATGTGGTCCGATCTACCGGTGAATTCGGGATTATTTTGTGCCGAGTCTGGCAGTTGGGTAGGCCTGAAATTGCACCATCACAAAATTGATGCACATTTAATATGATTTTTGAATAAGACTCTTTATACATTTTAAATGTCCTTGCTGTACTTTTAATTCTTGAATGCTTTTTATATATTTTATTATGCATGTAACATTTTTGTTAATATACTTTTTACTGTACAGTTTAACTGTTTTAGTTGCAAATAAATGCCATTATTAATTAATAATGCTATGTGACTATGTGAGCCACTCTCTAGTCTCATTTGAAGTTAGCCCAGATTGAAGTATTTATTGAAATGGCAGAGAACTCTGCACCCACCTTACTAGTACTTGTATTTGCAGCGTTCTTTGAGGTGGAGTCCTTTGATTTACATCAAGTCAAAGACAATCTAAATAAACCTGATGTGAGTGGGCCCTAAATATTCTGTAGGCTTTGGAGTTTTTTTTTCAATATTTTTTACTGGTATGAACTAGTTTACAGCCGAGAAATTAGAAGGGCACTACATGCACACACACGCACACACACACACACACATACACACACGTTTTATATATTTATTGTGGAAATGTGTGTATAATAGTTGAAAAGATAATGATTTTTGTTATCTTTACAGACTTGCTATGAAGACTTGCAGAATGTTGGTGGCCAGAGAGAACGCTGTGCCTGCCTGCTTCACCTGTCCACTTTGCTGACTACATCAATACAACTGCTGAAAGGCAAGCAACCCCTCCACTTCACTGCACTCAATGCCATCAATAGGATTATTGACATATGTATTGTAAGCGGCTCGTATGATCAGCATGGAATTGGATCCCTTTACTTTCAGGATGAGAATAAGGAATTAAATTTCCTTGGGACCCTTCAAGATGGGGATGTTCTCCTGCCAGAAGGAAGCAGCAAGAAAAAAGAAGGGAAGTGCTCAAAACACAAACTTGCAGGAGAGTGTAAGAAAATGCATTACAAATGTCGAGAGCGAGATGCTCCCCATTTGGAAAAAGTTGAGCACTCCAAGTGTAAGTTCAAAGAGGGCAAATTAGGTGGGGAGGAGGAAGACGAATTTGAGGAGGAAAATGAAGACCATCTCTTGGGTGCTAGAACTCCACTGGAAATTCTTCTTCATTGTGATCCAGGCCCTGTGCTTAGTGTCCTGCACAATTCCATCACAATGCACAAACGAATCGTTGGGGCCCGTCAGAAATGTACACCGAGCACACGATGGCGCCACTGCACACACCATTGTTTGCAGATTCTCAGTGCCCGTGTACTTGCTCTCATGTGTCATGGTCCTTATGTACAGCACAAGGTTGTTACTGATGGCCATCTTAAATCTCTTGTGGAAGGGCTGGATCCCAACCATGACCCGGTGAGTTAGGGAAAAATTACCACACCATTAACAGTTTTTTTTCATTAAGTGTTTTTGTTTGTTTGTTGCAATCAGTATTACTTATATAGATGGCAGTGGATGCTTTTTTTGTAAAAAATTTTTAAAAAGTGGCTTTTCTCATTGATGTTTGGTTCTTTTTCATTGTATCTTTGAAAAAGATCGGCATATTTGGTGCTAATTTCTTGGAAAAGAGTCAAGATATGGGAGCAACAGTGAATACCAATAGCAGTAGTACCTTACTTTCGGTCAGTTTCGCCATACTTCACTATAAAATTGACCAAACTGTTCTTTGCTACCTGCATGTGCACACCAATATTGAAGAGAAATGATATATTAAATTAATTAATAAAAGCAAGGAGTGTTAGAGAAGTGTGTCCAGATTTTGCCATTTTGAACTAGGACCAATGAATCTAACAGGATAGGAAAGAGCCTTTTTCCTTTTGAACGGCTGTGAAGGGCAAGACTTTACCTGTTGTTTTACTTGACTTATTTTTATTGCCATGTTTATTTAAAATCATCATCTTTTCCACCATATTGGTTTTCCTGTCCATTTTTAATAATTCCCCTCAAACAAGTCTGTTTTTTCAGTTGGACTACACATTATCTTTCGTGTACAGTGTTTTGTTCAACTAGCTATAGCCCACTGATAATGATCAGTACTGCCAGCTTAAAGCTTCATAAAATATGATAGCTGCAACATGTATTTTTTATGTTAATGCCATAAAATTGGGGTTTAAGACATTAATTCAGTGTTAGCAATCACAATCCCACTGATGGAGATCACAAACTGCAATTTTACTTAGAAGGCCTATGAGTTTACTAATAAAATTTTCATAGAAAGGAACACATTTATGACTGAATTCCCCACAAATGATTGCAACTGGTTGTTCAGTCATACTCAGTATTAGTATATATATATATATGTCAACACATTATGAAAAATTCAGTTTTTTAAGACTTTGCATAACAAACCTGCCAATAAAAATCAGCCAGTCAGCAGCAACATGTTGTTTATTGCGACAGTTACTGATAAAATTACCAAATTTCCTGCAGACTATCATGTACTGATTACAAACTCACCAATGAAATTAAAGTCATTATATAAGAAAACCTAATTGTTGGGATAGACCTGAGATCAAAAGGAGATCCCGATGAGGTAATTATATAATTGAACATAATTAAATTGGGCATGCAGGCAGCGCGCAAACATCCAGCACTGAATCCTTATGAGATGAGAGCGATAAGAGATACACATGTATGTAAAAAAACACATCATGGAGTTTCTTGAGATAGATTGTTTCATGAAGCAGTGTCTGGTTAACCTAGCCTTGTTGTTGACTTAGACCCCATTTCCATTGATTTTAGATCGATCTATCCCTGTGGGGAGTCTCACTAGATTACTGTCAGCTTAGCCGGTTTAAGCATTTGTCCCGCCTACTAAAAGCTGTAAAGGGGTAATTAACTGTCGTGCGCGCTCGGCTGACTGCAATTTAGTGTGAACCCCCAGGGAGTTAGGTCGATCTTAATCTAAATCTCTGGATCGATCTAAATCTCTGGGCATGCACCCTTGGTTTCTGTCGTACACACATGAAGTTTCAGACTTCGGGATCTGGGACCTTCTTTTCATCATGAACTTAACTTTGCAACATTTAAGTCTCTTATATCTTCAAAGCTGGCAGATATGAGCCCATAGTTACTATTGAAGTTGGATAAGAATTTGAATACTGGCAATTTAACTTTGACCTTGAAACTGACCTTTGTCCTACTTTTCACCATGAACTGATCAGTTCGAACTTTGCAAGGATTCTGTCCCTTATATCTCCAAAACTGGCAGAGATTGGCCCATAGTTACTATTGAACTTGAATAGGAAGATAAATAAGAATACTGGCAATCTAACTGTGATTTTGAAATTGACCTTTGACCTACTATTCACCACGAACTGAACTTTTCTATCCGTTATATCTCCAAAACTAGCAGAGATATCCCCATAGTTACTATTAAACTTGAATAGGCAGTCATATACTGGCAATCGAACTGTGATTTTGAAATTGACCTTTGACCTACTTTTCGCCATGAACTGCATTTCACAAATTTGGAATAAAACTATATTTACTCATGATTTTGTTTTAAATGGTAAACAGAAATATTGAGAACTTTTGTTAACTGAATTTTGTAGAGCTTGTCAAGCACAACACTGAATGTGGTGGCCCTTTTTTTGCTTTGCCATACGAATGTGCTTACTCCAGCTGATGGTACAATACCCGGAGGTGGTATCGCCTCTCTGTTCCTCTAGTTTTAGGTTTATATCTGGTCTACAGAGTGAGGCTTTTAAAACAAGCAGTGCTTTTGGACTAGAAGTATATAGTATAGTATAAACATCTGCATTAGTACCAAATACCAGAATTGCATGTTGCTAGAATGTGTTCAGGATAGTTTTCACAAAAACAGGTTGAGCAGAAAGTCTTGAGAATATGTACTTTGATTGCATATTATACCTTTATCATCCACTTTCCCATGTAGTCATGGTTGGACTACTCCCTAGAAGGGATTTCATTGGGGTAGGGAGGCAGAGGGGTGCATTAAAGCATATACATCTTGAAGTTAGGTATAAAACATTTTTCTTAGCCTGGTTTTGTACAGGACCTTGGTGTCATTATCAAACCAATCCAATTTCCTCTAGCAGACAAGAAAGACACGTCTGTAGATTTCAGTTTGTATAATCATTTAAGTTCAGGTTCAGGTATGTTTTTTCTCAAACACAGCTATTTCAAAATGTGTGCATGCTAAAGATGAGTCTAGAATGTGTGTTCATGTGTTTAAAAGAATCTCTGTCAAGCATATAACTTAAGGGAATGTCATATAATTGTCATATGTACAAACTTTTGACATTTTTTTATTGAAAAAAAGGCATACATCTGCAGTAATTGACTTTTACCGAATCTAGTTACATTGCTACTCAAAGCACTTAAGTTATTAAAACCATTGTACAATAAATGATAGATGAGAATGCAAGTTAACATATTAGTTTTCATACTAAACATAATTTATCAAAATCTCATAGGATAAAACTATAAGCATTTCATTTTTTGTCTCTCCACCTGACTAAGTTAATGTTTTCAGGTACATGTAGCATGTGTGTCACTTTGTTGCCGGGTGACATGGACTTGTTGGGTTTTCAAATGTTGTGACAATTTTTGCTTCTTTTAAGTGCTGCCTGTTTCTGTGAAAGAAGGATTGAGGTGATGTGAACTTACAAAATGCAGACAGAATATAACCCTGTATGAATTCCATCATAACCATAAAATATACCTCATACCTACAGGTCTTGTCGGTGCCATTACATACACCTAAAGGTTAACATCACCATCCAATATTTAGTTTGCTTTACCAAACATGCCAAGATGTGGAATGTTTTTTTTAAAGAGAGACACATATGTTTCTTACCTGTTAAATTTATGAGGATTCTGACTGATTTTATTAATAGCAACACAAAAGATCAGAAAGACATGCAGTTCTAAACTAATGTATTTTTTATACTTTCTCCCCTGTTGATATGACAGACACTAATTGAATTGAATCTAAAATGCTTGAAGCTAGGATTTTTCTCACCATAAGAAGGCATTGGCAATTTTGTTTAATTTTATAAAAAATCCCAATACCTAAAGCACTAAATTGAATGTCCTGTTTGTTCACTCAGGGTATCTTATGATGCATTTTTAATCAAAATTATGCCAGGGTATTTAAATAACTGGTGGAGTGATGCGCAGGAATACCCCACTGGAAAATAAAGGGATAGGTTAAAAACCTTGCCGTTGAACTGAAGTTGGCGATGCTCTTATGTTCAATTGCAGTTGTATCTTTTTTTCATCTACTTAGTCATATTTAGGAAATACAATTACCTGTATTTTTGTAGTATGATCTGGTTTTCAAGTATGATCAGTGTATTAGTGTACAGATGTGATAAGTGTGAGAATTGCAATGTGGATGCTCAATTGTTGTAGCAGAAAAAACAGTCATATTTGGGTCAAATACGTATCATAAGGTATAATATTAATGCTGTTAATCTCCATCTGTATGTTTCAACTCTTTTTTTTTTTGGTTATTTTATACTGTCGCAAAGGTGGCATATTTCTTGTAAAAAAATGTTTTTAAAATTGGGGGGGGGGGGATTATTGCAAAAAATGCAGAAAATTGCTTTGAATGTTTGTTTTTACCTCTGAAAATTTGGGGTTTTGCTATGAGGAATGTCCACTATTTTGAAGGCACAGGGTTGGGTATCCTGAAGGGTTAGCTATGAAGAGACACGCTCCTTCTTTATAAGGTCAGTACACCATTTTAGGATGCTGACACATGACACAATGTTGCTTGTAGCCAGTTATTCCGCTAGGCACTCTTATTAAATATCGGGAATTTTTCCAGGGGGCACAATTATTCTGCTAGGCATTATTTTTAATTTCGGAAAGTTTTCTGGGGGGCACAATTATTCTGGTAGGCACTATTATTCGGCACTTCAGAGTAAGTGCCAGGGACTGGATTTTATTGTAGGTAACACCTATAGTACATTACCAGGTAACAAGGTATTGCTACCAAAATTTCAAGATGGTAGCATTTTGGCCCAGTTTCACAATTTTGTGTACCATTTGCTAATGTTGCTACGGCTTATCTCTAGCCCCTATTGCTTGATTTACTAAGGTGTAATTTCATGATAATTTTAATTTTACATGAGACAAAATGTCTTTTTTAAAGTCATTCTGTCCTTGTGCTCTGTCTATACACCTATTTCATCAAAGTCAACATTTGTTAGAGCGGTCCCTCAACATAACAGTCATTCGTCACATAGAAACACCTGCGTCAAGAATGTCTTTCTTGTGTTTTATCTAGAAATTCAGCAATTTAGGAATGTTAATGCATTTTCAGGTCTGGTTTTTATGATAGTTGATCAGATGTGTGAGTTAATTATGTTCCTCGTAGTTCCCTCACTTATTAAGACAACAATGTATGCAACTGTGCACTAAAATCAATTACAAATGATTTTGTTTCATTTCAGCATCTCCTTTGCCTCATACTACAGGCCTTGGCCACCATAGCATTGAACCCTTCTTACCATCAAGCCCTCGCTGAGGCAGACATAGCTGACGTGCTGATGCAGCTTCTCCTTCCCTCTGATGAATGGTATTATACTAACCACAGCACCAAGTATGCCTGCTACGTCAAGTACCATGCAGCCAGAATCTTGGTCTACATGGGCTACTTCCACAAGCTTGGGGGAAGGGTCGATCTCTTTGATATGAAATGTGGGTATATGTAAATTCATAAGGCACATTTAGAACTGGAAGTACCTTTACCCAGATAAATAGATAACATATAGACTCCTTTTACAATTTAGAACTTAAATTTCAAGTCCCCTGTTCAATGTAGGGGTTTGGTGTTGCAATTTCAACCATACCTGGCTTATGAATAGATAACATATAGACTGCTATTACAGTTTAGAACTTAAATTTTATGTCCCCTGTTCAATATAGTGGTTTGGTGGTGCCATTACAACCATACCTGGCTTAAGTTAGTGTAGCTCTGAATGTGCCTTCTTAATCATACCTAGAGGAAACTAGCTCTGGCATGATTTATAAGTTGTTATTAACTTTGGTACAAGATTTTCAATTAAGCTGAAAAGCCTTCTTAAGATAAGTAAAGATGTGACATAAGGACAAAAAAGTTTTAAGCACTGATTAATATGACAAATCGTATGCCTATAAATAGTCTCATGCAATAATTATTATATTTATTAAGATTGTTCTTAGTTTGTCAAAATGCCCTAATTATGTTGGTAAACCACATTTGCCATACTTTAGGGAAAGAAAAGCCTCTAAGTTGTTCAATGTGTGTGAGATGAATTTCAGAAAATTTTTGCAATTTGCGTGCTGTTACAAATCTCAATGCACTAATTAGATATGTGAATGGGGTTTACTTGTGGAATAGATCAGTGGTTGTGGCTCTCTCCCAGAAGGTCCACAAAATTGTATTATCTTACATTAAGTTGCTGAATTTATTTTGATCTTCAACAAAAAGGTTCCCGATGGTGGTGCCTTCTACTTTCTCCATGCATTTTGTATGTTATTTACTCAGAAATGAATAATTGGGTACATGCACTTTTCTCTCTCTCTCTCTCACACACACATCCATATTGACCATGCCTGGTGGTATCATGTATGTAGCTGAGGAACTTGTTTTGTAGTTTTATAACCATTCCATGGCTCGCATAAGCTACCCAAACAGATTACCCAAACCAGAAACCGATTAGAAAGTGTTCAAGTGTTCATGTAAGTCTAGCTAATTTAAGTAACTGTGGAAAAGATAATTGCTCACACAGACTCTTTACAGATACCAAAATCTGCAGTATATATTGTTAAGACTAATTATATGACTTGTTGTTGTGAAGTTTTTTGTTTTTTTTTGGAAACCAAATATGATGACTTTTTAGAACCCTGCTTCACCTTAAAGTTGATAATACTTTCTACCAGACTTAAACATCAAAAGTTTGACAATCTGTGAATATTCCATTGAGTAAAGTGTGGGTGAAATATTTAATAAAATCTAAATTTTTGAACATGGTAAGAATGTGTACAATTGACAACTTGTTGAAGGCAAAAAGAAAAAATACCAACCTCACTGATAACATAAGGTGATATGTTTTAATGTGTTTGATACTAAGCACAGTTTTATGGACCCATTGATGAAATTAAAAAAGAAAACCCTGAAGCTAGCATTCCAAAATTCACTGGAAAACCTACTGAAATGTTCAAAATATAGAAACTTTTTAATGCTTATTGTGCATGTTTTTGAAAATGTCCCAGAGTTTTATTTTTATTATGCAAAGCTTCTAATCTTTCCCAAGCCAAGGCCAAAATAATAATAAAAAAACTCAAATTAAAGTTTAATCTGATATACATGATGTTATTTCCTTCTGTACCTCACAAGGTCCAAGCCTTGGTGCCTCTTGAGTTTATGCAAGAAATAAAATTGTCTATATAATACACAAAACAAGACAATTTTCAAAACTTTTTGTCCATTTTCTTTTTTACCAAGAGAAAATTAGGTAATTCCAATTGCAGTATGATGGTTTCAGTATCTGGCCAGACTTATAGAACTAAATTATTCAATTAGAAATGGTATAAAATGTCAAATCCAAGTGCATGGACAGGGCACCCGATGAACAGTGATTAGGAGAAAATTGCTTTTTTGTGAAAGAAAATTTGATTTGGCACAAAAATCTCAGATAGGATACCTTTGATTATCATCATAAGATTGAAAAAACTTGAAAACAAAGTAACTGTGACAATTGTGAATTGGTCTTCTTGTTACTTTGGTGAAATGACTAATTATTTACCAAAATTTGTTTTGGAAAGAGTATATGGATTTGACTTGTTTGCTAGAAAATGAATTAATGCTGTAACTTACATATGACTTCATAGAATTGTTTTGAACAATTATCCACTTTATGACACTTTAATTTGTCTCTCAATATGATTTTGGCTTTTCAAGCATTCCAATCAGAATTCCCACTGCTGGGCCTGTCAAATGCAGATACATCAGAAATGCCAGTTGCCTATGGGATAGCTCAATAATAAAATAGCTATTTTAAGCACATGTTAAAGGTGGATAAGATAAATAAGTTAAAAAAGGGAGATGATTTTTCTGCAGGTGCACTTTTATCTTATTGATAAGAAAGTAAATTTTATCCCTATACTTTTGTGACAAAAGTCAGGGATCATGTTTTCCTGCTTGTCTGTGCGCCTGTGCTAACCCATCGTAGACCATTAGAGTGAGGAAGTTCAAACTTTGGGTATTGATAGACCTGTCATTAGGGATGTGCATGGATACTTCAGAATTTTATTGTGCCTGGGGGTTTGGGTTGTCCCTGGGGGCGGATGATTCGAATATCTTTTCCAATTGTAATTTTTCCTAGCTCCTCCTACCCCACTAGAGTAAGAAAGTTCAAATTTTGGGAATTGATAATCCTATCATAAGAGATGTGCATAGGCACTTAGGGATTTTAGTTTGCCAGGAGGTAGGCTGCCTCTGGGGGGTGGATGATCCCAATGTTTTTAACATTGTAATTACTGCTTTTTCCACCTAGACCATTAGAGTGATGAAGTAAAAACTTTCATGGTTGATAAGACATATCATCAGGGAGGTGGCTAAGCCAGTCATGTGTGCATGGGAGTTGGGCTGTCTTGGGGGGGAGGCATGGATGTTCTTTTTTACATTAAGCTTTTTTTATTAATATAATTATAGTGTTATTATGAAGATTATTAGTAGTAATTATACATATTGACCCCAGACATTGTCATAGATGTCAAGGAATGGAATCTCTGAGGGTGAGCTACTCTTAACAATGTGAGGAAGTGCCAGAATATGTGAAGGCTACCCATCAACACCATATAGCGTTAATTGTGATACTGTTAACCAGTATCCACTTCACCTTCATATTCTGTTTGTATTATGTTTGGCATATTTGTTATAGCAATGAGATCATACAAAAATAATGTGGAGGTGTATTTTTTAGAAGATTGAGTTCCAATTATGCATGGGTATTGATTTGGCATATCCTGCTAATGCAGAATAAATTCTTTATATTGTTATAGCAGGATATACCAATTATTTCAACTTCAAGGCACAGTGTTATGAACTGCAGGAGATACCTGTTAATAAGGAGAGAGGTCCCTATAATTGATCAAATCAAAGCATATTCCAAAGTGTAATTATTTTGAGAGGTTCTCATTAAGTAATGTCAATCTTTGTGTTAATATCATTTCCTGCTGCAAATAGAAAGAGGTTAATATATTAAAGGAAACTTAAGATACATTAATTTTGTGATCCATATTTGGCAGAAATGCATTAGAAACCAATGAATGTATTATGGTGAATATATTCCTTAGAATGGCAAGGACTCTTGGTATAAAATTATTTAATTTAGGAATGCCTTTGAAATTTCCAAATGAAAAAATTGGTGTTTTTATTTAAGAATTTTAGTTTAAAAGTACACATGATACTGCTTTGTAAAAACTATTGCCAGTTAAGGTGTGCTCACCAGATGGAAATAAAGTTATATGTGAGGATTTTCCTAAAACAATCAAAGAGATAAAAATTGCAATTAAACCTTGAAAAATAAAACATCTTGTTAGGAGCATAAGTGGAAATGAAGAAAGATTATATAAATAGATACAAAGCTGAAGTTCTCACCCCTTACTGTGGGAATAAAGGCATGTCAGTCAATTAAAAGGTGACTGAAATTAAAGTTGGATGTGCATTACCTTATGTTTAGGAAAACTTTTAACATAACTTTTAAACCACTGACTGTTAACCCTGGAAAAAAAAAACGCAATCTTTAAGTAGAGCACAAGCAGGATTTAGATAAAGAATAAGCATAAACAGCAAATAATATGTAAATCATAAACAACTTAATCACCTGTATCCTGGATAAGATCTGTACTTTAAATATTTGCTTCATAGATCATAGATTTCTGCAAGGCTCTTGATAGTATAGGGTAGAGGGCATGCTCTTAAAAATGTTGAACTGAATGGAAATATACCTGTGCTTATATTGCATCCATGCATGTATGTAGCAAGGCCATATCCTCTGTAAACCTTGAGGCAATATCAGATTAAAATTAAGATTATTGATTTGCCAAGATATTGACTCATTTTTGTATGAAGTTGGAGGTTCCATACTTACCAGACCTTAGTCTTTATCTGCTGTTTCTTAAGCACAGTAAGAGATGTATTTTGTGTATTAATTTCAAGACATTGAAATTAATAACACTAATGATAATGGTGGTTATGATTATAATGATAATAATTTAACAGCTCATGAGCTCTAAATATCACAGTGTTATATTTGTCAGGTCTCTCTCTAAACACACAAACACACACGCACACATAGTGTGCTTGTGTGTATGTGTGTGTGCATATATGTGTTGCAGATGATATACCTAATAAAACTGATATTATATATTATATATTTTATGATAAAAAATTAAAAGACAATAGTTACATTGACTGCACTACTCTTTTTGAATTTCCTAAATAATGACATGTGATTTGAGTTAGGGGAAGTTCTTTTTTACATAGCTATTTGGATATATCTGGATATTACTCTCATGGTCTTATGGCTTAAGAAATATATATAAACTCCAAACTTATAACACAGAAAGATGACCTGTATAAATATATGTATTCTTACTCTTTGATGAAACAGTCATGCAATTTTATTGTATTCCTGATTTCTGATTTAAAGGTCAGAATCCTAGGAGTTGTGTGAATATTAGTCTGACATTAGGTTCACAAGTGCACATGTCCACAAAGTTTTTCCCAATATGTTTATAGGCAATGTGTATCTTCATTACATATACATCTTAAGGGTGTATTTAGATATATCAGATATTCATTACATATACATCTTAAGGGTGTATTTAGATATATCAGATATTCATTACAAATACATCTTAAGGGTGTCTTTAGATATATCAGATATTTTTCTCTGACACAATTGATCCTTTTACACGTCATTGGGTATTTCAGTATCTCCATATTAAATTAGGTATGTCTGTGTGCTTTTGCTGTATCTTAATCCTAACTATGGTTTCTTGCCTTCCTTCCAGTTCCACTATGAAAAAGTCATAAGTCATATTATTTTATAATTTTGTTGCTATTTTTCTACTTTATTGTGTATACAAAATATAGCAATGAAATAAGACACATTCACACACATACATACACACTATATCCTACTGCTGTCTGTGTTTGCAAGTCTTGCTGTTATATTTCTTCTGTAGTTGTCATGCTATATGGCCTTAGGAGGTTATTTTATGAAACTTACTGTAATAATCCTTACTCTTATTTTGTCTTTGAATTGTCACAAAGAGTTTTGCCATTGATCTACACAGTTAGCCATTATATACTATAAATATAACTTTAAAGAGAAATAAAATAAAAGAACCAGAAATAAATAGGTATTTTCAGTAAATACTGAACAACATAAATTGATTGATTCTTTTGAAATCAGGGGATAGTGTGATTGGTGAAAGTAGAATAAACGAGAGAAGATCTGGCAGGGAAATTGCCTATTAAGTCTAAATCAGGAAATTATTCACCTACAGAGCATGGACTTGCAGATGGATTTTTCCCCAATGTGTTGAAGGTTAAGATGTACTTGTGGTTATTAAGTCTTTTTTCATTTGAAGAAAATTTGTCTGTCAAGAGAGGGCAGATCAGTTCACAAATGACTATTCATAATAGGACAAAAACATGTCCTTTACAACAATATTTCAGGTGTTTAAGTTTGAAAAGTGACCTTTTTAAAAATTAATTTCCAATATTGTATCAGTGTACATTTAGAGGGATTTTATTAGAATTAACCAAGTGCTGTTATATATTGATAGTATAGACTCATCTTCTCCAAGGTGCATCAAACATGATATCCCTTGCTGTTCACAGTTTTGTGCATTGAAGATGAAATACGTGGTATATCTGGCTTGGAAATTGTGAAGTAGGAAAAAGGGGCAAATTGGTGTTAGATACTGCATGAAGACGGGTGTTCATTACACTTTTTAATAAAGGTTTCATCTCATTGCCCAATGTCAGTGTGAAAAAATACAGATATGTCTTTGTTCCCTTAATATATTCATTTATCAATTTACTTTATTTTCTGTGAGGGGCCCTTATCAAAAATAAAGAAAATTGATAAATAAATATTTAAAAAAACTTTATTATGAAATGTTTCCACTAGCATTATTCTCTTTTTTCCCCTGAAGAGAAACCTCACAATAATGTTATACCTCCCTTTCAGTATTCCAAGACAAAGCCTCCAATCCTCTGCTCCAAGTGCACTCTCCAGAAGACAGTTTTATTGAGTTGATGGCTCTTGGAAAAGTGATTAAGAAAGACGGCCAGGGATACATTGAGGCAGGCTCACCAGAGGGTTTGGTAATGGCAATCATACAGGTAATAAAACTCATTTTAGGAGCATGATAAATGTATTTCATTTACTACAAATCTGGCAAAAGTTAATTTGTAGTTAAACAAAAACATGGGTAAGAAGATAAAGATCATTGAAGGTGTTATTTCAAGGACATGTGTATATATATATATTGTCATTAATCATGGGAGCATATGTTATAGAATAATTATGACATAAGTAATCTGTTCTGTATATCCTCAAATCAATCAGTGGGTGTAAATTAATCTGTAGATATTAATGAATTTTCCATGTAATCTGCACATGTTGAACTGCACCTTGATTTCTAAGAACTCTGGAAATGCCAAGTGTGTTAGGATTACTTCTAATATAAGTTACAGTGGGGGATGAAATATGCCATAGACTAAGTAAGATAATGTATTTGGAAATATAAGCTAGCATTACTTCTATAATAAAAGTTGTGGCAGATGAAATATGTCTTAGGTAATGTTTTTTTTTTTTTTTGTTAACTCTGTTGAAAAGAAATAAAAGTGAAACAATTGTAAGAATTCATTCAAGTTACAGAGAGGGGTGAAATATATCTTAGAATATGTTAGATAATGTATTTTGGGGATAAAGGTAGCTTTGCTTCTAACATAAATTGCAGTGGGGGGGGGGGTGAAATATGTCTTAGGCTAAGTTAGATAAATTTGTTTTGGGTTAACTCTGTTAAAGATATGTAATATGTATGTAAGCACAAAGAATTATTCTTGCAGTGTTCATACTCCTTTTTTCCTCATGCCAAATGCTTTAATGTAACATAAAGAAAATCATTACTTTAAACCTAAGGCAATTTCCCTTTATAAGACACAGAAGTGGCATTTGGTTGTGCATTGCCCCAAGCCCTGCTGTGGTATCAGAGCTCAATTGCTACATTATTTTAGATAGTTGTTTATTGATTTTGATAAAGAACTTGCATAATGTAGCATTGGATATCTGTGTTGGATTATCTGCCCATATCTTTGGTTTCTATTACAAGGTGGACTAGATACCAACTATCTTATCAGCTGTTGTACACTGGTTTAATATTTCTATATTATCCTGTTCTAAGACTACATGGACTTTTTGCAACCCTCCCTCTCCCTATGCAATAATATTAAGCTTAGGAATATTTGAATTGGGTTGTTCTCCTGCCTGTCTCTCCGTTTCCTGAAAGGGGCTTTTTCGTTTTCAATCAATTCCTTCAAATCATTACACTGGCAAACCAACTAAGAGTTGTTCATTTGGGTACCATTTCTTGATTTCTCCATTAAATAATTGGTAATGAGAAGCTTTCATGTTACCAGAATAAATTTATCAGGAATATTGCCTTTGGTATCAGTGTCACCTCAAACACATATCTCTTGACATTGTCATGAATATACATCAAGAAATCCTGCTTAACAATTATGGATTTAAATAATTGATTGGATGGTGCCATGTGTCTTCACATTTCTACTTTTTGCGAACAAGTCTTTGGTATAACCAGTTTAGCTATAATATTTCATGACAACACATTATCTTTACAGGATGCTGTAGAAGAGGAACACAATTATTTGCTGTCCACCTTGTGTGGTGTGCCCAATCAGACCTTACAAGTGTCTCCAGAGGTTGCACAGTCCAAAACTGCCACAAAGCCAACAACTTCTAAGACATCCAGACCCACGGATTCTGAGGAATATCTGCTGCAGTTATATCACAAGCCATTCCGAGAACTCTTCTACTCTGCCATGCCCCTGCTGATTCACCCTGTGATAGTTATTCGTTTGTTATACCACAAGATGTTTGGAAGCCTTGTAAGAAGAAAGCTGCCAGACCTTAAGGACCAGGAGAATGATGAAGATGCCATGAAGGAAAGTTACCACAAGAAAAGAAGGCTTACTTATGGGAACTGTAATGGACAGAATCATAAATTTGACGGGGATGATTTTGGACCACCTGATTGGGTGGAATCCCCTGTAATGGCGTCAGGGTCAACAACTAATGCTGCTGTCAAAACGCTGGCTAGGAATGTGGTTTTTCCTGCTCCATTGGAGCTGCAGATAGCCATGACACCCTCGCCTCAGATCAGTGATTTAGATTTGTACCATGATAAATCTGACAGCAATGGTAAGGAGGAGGGTAAAATAAGTTCCAGTCGGAGGATATTCCATAGGAGTTCAAAGAAAAGCATATCGAAGTCTGTTGCCAATCTGCATTCCAATTCAAGCCCACCCCAAAATAGTCCAGAGGAAAAGGCTCAAAATTACGACATACTTGCATTCCAAAGGGAGCTTATAAATTTGCCAACATTTGTGTTAGATACACCGCAAGTGTCTCCTATGCCTTCTAGGTCCAACTCTGTACCAGATATGAGAGAACTGACCAATAAAGATGGACACTCAGTGGCTGCTACAATGAGTGACCACAATATAAGATGTTCAGGCTCTCTAGAAACAAAGACTCAAGAAGCAGAAAAGATGAAAGAAGTAAAAGAATCTGATAAAAAACTTGTTAAACAGAGCCAAGTTAAGTCTCGTCCTGTGTTTGTTTTGGAAGACGCAACTTGCACCAGTTCAGACACAGAGCCTTGTCACTCACACCGTGCTTTAACTATTGGAGATACTCAATCTGTAGGCATTGCAAGAATTCATGCTGTCAAGAGGCATGCAGAGGTTAAAGCAATGAATGCTCATCTACAGGTTAAACATCAATCTTCTCATCAGCCATTGCCATCCCCCTATCCATCAAATCATCTTTATCATCACCGTAATCATCATCATCATCATCATCATCATCCACATCACCTCAGCCATGCAGCTACTTCGCCCATGCAAAGCCAGCTTGGTTTACCTCGAACACCCATGTTGTGCATTTCCTCTGCTTCTGTCACGTCTTTACGCTCTGATGTTAGTTTTCATTCCGTATATTCCAGTCACCATTACTTTGGTGGCATGGAGGTACCACTGCAACACAAAGCAGTGATGAAAATCATAGAGTCCTGGGTGAATGTGTGCAGTGCAGACTTTGAGAATGATCTCCTCGCTAGCTCTGAGATGAAGGACTTTCTCAATAAAATGCAAAGCCTTGGATCAGATTATAGACAGTGGTGTAGAAATATGTGGATCATGCTAAAACTGGAGGTAAGATATACATGTTGAGTTCAGTTTCTTTTTAATGAAGTAGCAGAAAAGTGTTAAGTGTGCTTTAAAGTACTTTGAAAATTTTGAATAGACAATTAAGGAAACAAGGAATAAAATTGTAAAAATATAACAAAGATGTTGAAAGGTAGAGAGTACTAGGCAGAGACCAGAATCTTACAGGGGCACTTGTTTTATTCTGCACCTTGGAGACTAAGTAATTTATTACCAAGTTTAATGACGTAATGACTACCTTTTTCTAAACTTACAATTTACACTGGAGTAAGAGAGACACATAGCCCCATCTGTAGGTCAACATCTACATTACTATGATAATTAAGCTTTTGTGATACAATTTGCACAATATATATTAGGACTAAAAATTTACCAGTTGCACCTGTGTAAAGAAATGATTTCATGGTCACATGTGGTATACATAGAGGATTTAGAAGCTGAGATTGGTTGCTGTAAGGCCGCATTCACATCGAGTAGAGCCATGGCTCAACTCGATGTGAATGCGGCCTGAGGGATGATTTTTTATTTCAGCTAATCTCCAGTGAAGGGACCCAACGCTGTGTTGTTGGATTGATATTGAACTTATGTGCAGACTTTTTAATTACAGGTGGGACTGGGAGATATGAACAGAGACTGATTCAATTCACCATGCTATTGAATGCCTGTATTGGGAAGTAACAAATGTATCTCATTTATTTGCAGTAAACTCATCTTCTGAGCCATACCCACTTTCCCAATTAACATATCTAGCCATCTATGACAGGTGCCTAGGGATGAAATGCTTCGGAAAACAATTTTATTTAAACCTTCCATCATTAGCACTGAGCCAGTTAATAATCTAGCCAACATGCGTAGTGCCCAGGGATGTGATATTCAGGAATTTGGTTGTATTTGCATCTATCATGGAATGTGCATTATAGCTGTCAGATTTTTTAGATAATTTTTTTCTTACACTTATGCTCTGTGCTGCCCCCTTTTTATGGACTGTTTCCAAAGTAATACATATGTCACATGGAAAATAAACTGAGCAGGTATGAATAAAGTAAATATGGTAAGATACCCTTGACAAAATCTTGTGTGTTATTGATTGTTAATTAAGTCACAATATATCAAACTCCATGCATTTGTGTATCAGGTGCCTTAGGTCTTAGGGTCAGATGAGAGGGGTGATTTTGAGTTCATTCATGTCCTTTATACTTGTTAATTTATTTAACCAAATAAAAGGAAAAACTTTAGACCATATCTTATTGGAGATAAAGATGATCTGTCAACGATATAAACCAATTCAGGGGAGAGAATGTTGTCATGCAAATAGTTATGATATTTATGTGAAACTGAATTTTGATCTTCGTGAAAGACATACAGGTAGCTAATTAATTATCATACTGTATGCACAAGGAACCATTAATCTATGCACATAAGAGACTAGACTCAGCCTCCAACTTCCAAGCCTAATTTGCCTTTAAAATCATTTAAAGATTTGGGAAGGTTTCATACTTTTGAAATGACCATTAAGTAACTTGTAATAAAGAGATTTCTTATTAGGCAGCATTCACAGCAGAGGACTAACAGATCCTTGGGTCAAATTTGGCTGACCCACTTGAATGCTTGTTGCATAATCCCTGCAGGGGGAATCCATTCAGCGTCTATAGACTAGGGAATAATGCAGTAAGGTTTTAACTGGTTTGCCATATTTGACCCGCGGATCTGTTAGTCCACCGTTTTGAATGTAGCCTTAGACATTTTGCAGCAAAGATTTAACTCTCACTTGGAAAATAAGTCTTTTTTTTTTTTTACTGATAAAACCTGACCCACATTGGTAGCTCTGAGGTGATAATGTTGACTTATTATTTTGCAGTGCTCTTCCTGAGCTGCACAATATTAAACTTTAGAACTGAAAATATCACACTGACACAAAAATGCAGATATTTCCTTATCTGAGATGTCATGTGGAACTGTAGTTTAGAAAAAAATTATCAAAAAAGTGGCCAGATTTTAGTTACCGTTTGGTAACAGTGGTTTTGTGATTATCTTGTCAAGGTGCATCTCTTTCCCAGACCCAAGCTAGATGCATTATTGGTGAAGGATACTTAACAAAATTCACCTCCACAATCCCTCTGATTCTGTGAGGATAAGTTTATCTTTAGTGTCTCTTATTTGTCTTACTGTCAGCTTATTGTTGTATACAAAAATCAATACAGTATACGTGCAGTAGCAATGAACACAATGCTGCTATACTAGTTGTGAAATTCAGAAATATGATCTGTTATATGGAAGACTTTGTGACAGTCTTCTTAGAGCAGTGAAGTACTGCACAGTAAACGAATACCTGCATTAAGTCAGTGCTCTTATCCTCCTTGACATTTATAGAATAGTTACTCCATATATGCATTGATTTAGAAAGCCTTTCATAAATGGTGTTCATAAAAGAGCAATTTTTTCAAGGTTTCATTTTTCAAATTCAATCAATTTTAATAGCCTGTTCAGCTTAACAACTGAATTAACAGTAAGATCCAATATAAGATATCCTAAGTTAATGTTACGTATAAAGGGTGGGTGAATTCCTGGTAAAATATATATATATACCAGTTCCACTAGTTTCTTATATGGCTTAACTTAAGTCAAAATACCAAGTCATAAACTAAAATAATTCCTTGTTGTAAATTGACCTATTCATCCATCCCTCCAGTACCAGGCCTCAAAAACGGATTAGGCGTTTCCTAGCACGTGCCTCAGATTCCCGAGCTCAAACGCCAATATTAACGAGCCCCACCTCAGATTAACAAGCACAACGTAAAGTGACCAAGCACAAACTTAGAGTTTCCAAGCTTATCTACCCGATCGGTTTGTTCCGTATGAGCCGAAGGTTGTCGAGAATGCATTGCTGCGGTAAGGATAGTGGAATATACTAATGCAGTTGTTTGGTTTGTTTAGAGAATTTTTATATATTGTACGTTTATTTTGCTCAAGTTAAAATATTGATACATGGAAACAGATATTTCTGAGTTGGTGAAAATAATCGATGAATCATTTTTTATTTGCGTCATATTTATCATATGCATAGCATCATTATATAGGCGCTCACACATGCAGTCCATGTGCTTAGAATGATCCCAACAATTCTCCTGACAATTCAAAATCTGTTAGTAATGATCTAGCCACTTTATTTGGTTGTGGCGTGGACGTTAAAAATCCTTTATCTTTTGCCAAAGAGACAGAAAGGGGAGATACTATTACTTGTTTGCATCCAAAAATCTCTGAAAGTTCAACCGTTATGTCTCTTTAACTTCCGCCATCTTGAAAATAGTCCTGAGTTGATAAAAAGAACCCATATGTAAGCAGCCGTGGGCCCCGTTGGAAGCTGGACAAATTGATAGTGCTTGGAAACGCTAAGTTTGTGCTCGGTAACTTTATGTTGTGCTTGTTACTCTGAGGTGGGGCTCGTTAATATTGGTATTTGTGCTAGGAAATCTGAGGCTCGTGCTCGGAAACGGCAATTGTCGTTTATGAGGCCTGCAGTACATAAAAGACACATAAATGATATAGTACTGTGAACGGATTATATAATCATCACTCTCACTGTATGGATGTATAACTGCATGTGTAATGGCAAACTAATTAAAATGAGACTGCAAAAGGATAAAAGTAACACAGAATGAGGGTAGAAAAATGCGTTCAAATATAATTTTTCGGGAAATATGAAATAATGCCCTTTGGTATTTCTCTAAATTATAGCATTTGAAACTATATTGTTGCATTTGGTCGGGTTTTGTGGCAAAAATCTTTTTGCAAAAATGTTTCTTTAACATTGATTTGATTTGATTTGCTTTCAGTTTTCAGATCCATTGAGCATCTTAATGTTTATTACATATTGTAAATTAGATTTTAAAATCCATCTTTTTTTTTTTGACAAGTGAACTACAAACAGTAATCAGTCATGTTAATGAGTTGGGTTTTGTGATGAGGGATTTTTAGAGACATTGTACAATGAGTTTATTGATAACCTTGACATTTTGTCTCTTTCACATACAGTACGCTTAAAATATTATGTGAGCTGAGTAACAACATATCTTGGTTTTCCTTGTTCCTAATGTGCCAATGAAATATAGCACAGGTGCTAAGCATACTTATACCCCAATTTGGCTGATTTTAGTAGTGAGCATTAAAAGGCTCACTCAGTGTACTAGTACTTTTATTTTGGGAGTTTACTTTGGCTTGAGGGCCAAAAATTTAGTCTTTGTTTGAAAATGAAAAATGCACAACTGCTGCTTGTCACAGTCCACTCATTATGAAACAATATGAACTCTCTTTATTTACTCAGTGTATATAATATATTTTTTATTATATCTGATAAACCCTTTTTATCGTACACATATGTAATCTGTACCCCTGGTTCTTTAATGTCATCTCTGGAGACTCCCAATATTTGCCTTTTTCATGTCTAAAATTCATGTCTAACTCCCTTGGGGTTTTTACAAATCTGATGATTCTTTACCCTCTACCAGATCTGCAGATTTGTAAGGCCCCATTCAGAAAAGGGGGCTAACTAGTACAAGAGTCAAATATGGCCAACCCACTTGAATACTTCCCCACGGGGTATCTATTCTGTGTCTATTAGTGGATTAGATGGCAAGCTTTGTAATGGGTCACCATATTTGACCCTCGGACTAGTTAGTCCCCTATTCTTAATGGGGCCTTAGTCCGCAAATCCACTTGTTACGAATACCCTCTAAAGTTTACTATCCTATTAAGTTTGGAAACAAATGTTGTTTACATTTTGTTTCATTCCACTGTCAATAAATGATTATTCAAGACCAAAAGATACCATTAGCTATCTTCAGTCTGAATATGTGATACTCCCCCCCCCCCCCCATTTTGAAGATTAACTTGTGCTCATGAGTTAGGGCCATGATCAATTGCAATAAAAAAAAAAGAAGAAAAAAAAACTAGTTTATTTAACTGAAGAGGTAAGATTTTTTGTTAAATAA